TGATAACTTTTGATTTTTGTAATATGTATTTGGTTTTAGATGTCCAATTTCGAGAAAAGAAAAAAGATAACTAATTTTCAGAATTTGTGGGACCCTTTTAATTTAGTTTGTGGTTTAGTTAAGGAAAACTGTCTGAGTAGTTGTAACTGTCTTAAATTGATAATAAAAACTTAAAACTGTCCTACAGTGATATATTTTCTTTTTTTTATCCAAAGACTAGATTTAACTTCTATTATAATCTAAACCCAACATTTCCCGGTTAAACAAAATCTTCCGCGTGGAATTGCAACAAGATTCCTCCACGTCAGCAAAAAAAAAAGCAAATCAACGGCTGGTAACTAAGTAGAGTGTATCGCTTAGCTTCCGAGCAATCTCAACCGTTGCTTACCGTCACCGTCTCTACTTTTTTAATAATCCCCCGACAAGAGAGAAAGAGTGTGAGACTCAGAGAATGATCCAAACAACTTTGCTTTTGATTGTCATCTTCATCGTGACGCAAGTACATGCGCAGCTTGTGCCGCCGGCGAGACTCGATGGTTTCGTTTACCCACCGGGTCGCCGCGTTGACCCGGATACTATACTAATCGAGGCGTTCTTTGACCCGGTTTGCCCGGATAGTAGAGACGCGTGGCCGCCTCTGAAGCAAGCTCTTCAACGCTATGGATCTCGCGTTGCCCTTCTACTTCACCTCCTCCCTTTACCGTCAGTACTCTGTTTTTTTTTTGCATTTAGTGTCTGAAATTGGCAGAAAGTTCTTAGCTTTTGGTTAGATTCGTTCTCGATTTCATTGGTACTCTGTTTTGTCGTTAATTGTCTGAAATTGGCAGAAAGTTGTTAGCTTTTGGTTAGATTCTTTAGTTAGTGTCAAAGAGAGAACGTAATCTTGTGCCGTCTTATTCATCAAGCCAAAAGGTTTATATACAACCAAGAGTAAACCCTCGTATCATCTCCATATAAGGAATATTAACATATTGAGATATACGATTAGGCTATTATACTATATTTACATATGAGTCCTCAATACTCACCCTCAAGTTGGAGTATGAAGATCCCGAATGCCCAACTTGTGACGCAAGTAAGCAAATTGTTGTGAACCCAATGCTTTGGTTAAGATGTCGGCAGGCTGCTCCGTCGTGCTGGTATAAGCTGTGGCTAGTTTACCCTCTTGGATAACATCTCGAACAAAATGACAATCCACCTCCATATGCTTAGTCCGTTCATGGAAAACCGGATTCGATGCTATGTGTAACGCCGCCTTATTATCACAATGTAGACGCATCGGATCCTTATGCTCAACATCCAAAGCTGATAGTAATTGCCTATCCCATAGTAACTCACGCGTAGTAAAACCCATCGCTCTATATTCTGCCTCTGCAGACGAGCAGGATACTGTTGGCTGCTTCTTTGTCTTCCATGCAATTGGCGAGTCTCCCAACAAAACAACATAGCCCGTAAGTGACCTGCGTGTTATAGGGCATGCCGCCCAGTCTGAATCGCAGAAGGCTTTAAGGGACAGGTCAGAGTCTGAACTCAATAGTATTCCTTGACCAGGACATCCTTTAAGATATCGTACCACTCTAATCGCAGCCTCCCAATGCTTTGTACGTGGACGTTGCATAAACTGAGTTAAAATATGCACTGCATAAGACAACTCCGGTCGAGTATAAGTCAGATAAACCAAACGACCCACCAATCTCCTATAACCCTCTGGATCACGATAGAAAGCTCCTTCACTAGTAGCTAACTTGTGATTTTGTTCCATGGGTGTTGCAACTGGCTTACTCGCTAATAGACCACTCTCTGAAACAATGTCAAGAGCATATTTGCGTTGAGATAAATATATTCCCTTATCAGATCGAGCCACTTCAATCCCGAGAAAATACTTCAATGGCCCCAAATCTTTCATGTGAAAGCATTGACTCAAGTATCCCTTAAACTTCTTAATCTCACCAGAATCATTCCCACCAATCAACAAGTCGTCCACATATATAAGAACATACAGCCTCATAGTTCCACGCATCAACACAAACATTGAGTAATCGCACTTCTTCTGAACAAAACCATACCCTTTTAATGCTGCAGTAAGTTTTGAGAACCAGCAACGAGGAGACTGACGCAGTCCATATATCGACTTCTTCAACTTACAAACCTTATTCTTATCTTTCGAAGAAAACCCTGGAGGTAACTTCATATAAACATCTTCCTCAATATCTCCATGAAGGAATGCATTATGAACATCCATTTGATAGACCTCCCATTTCTTGACAGCCGCAATTTTTAAAAACGTCCTCACCGTAGTCATCTTGATAACTGGTGCAAATGTCTCATCATAATCAACTCCCTCTTCTTGTCTATTTCCA